CATTAAGTATATCATGTGATTTTAGGCGCAGTTGAGGCTGGCTGAGCCACCAACCTGGCACACATTCAAGACGTGCAGTGACCAGATTCCGTGATTTCAGAATAAGATACCCGTGGCTTAGTCTAAGTTCTAATTGAATCCAAGTCTTTCTACGCCTCAATCGAAGCCATAACACTATTAGAGTTTAGATGGAGTAGTTTAGCTAGTATTAGTTTTGTAGTATATTTCTGTAGTGTATTTTTGTAGTGTAGTTTTTAGTGAATTTTTGTATAAAGAGTATTTCACACTTTTACAACGTATACATTGATATTAATTAATGATTTTCTTTTTCGTAGTTAAATGTTGTATATCAAATATTTTATAATGAGGTTACTAAAGTCTATTGACTATTCCATCCCAATTAGTTGTTCAATACACTTTAATTTTGGAGTTGTTTAAAAATATGCCCATATGAATAAACCACGCTGGGATGAAATCCACATTTAACCGCCAATTAACTTTATTATACAATGTAGATTTCACTTTGAAGAGATTTTTACCGGGTGGGTGAAAAGTCCTTAGATAAGACCTTTTTTCAAACACTGATATATTTTTGATTATCAGTGTTGGCTAGATAATTGTCAATAAGATTAAAAAATCAGAACATTATACTCACGTGTAGTATACATAGTTAATCGAAAGCATAGGTGTGTTTTGGTCATGCGTTTGGAAGAATTCCGGACAGCCAAAGGTGCCGGAAATAAATTCAATCAAAGGACTTTAAGTCCGCAGAATATATTGAATTGGTAATTTTAAGTAAATAGTGATTTTAAGTAATTTAAACTGAAACGATGATATGCTCCCGGAAGATTAGTAAATGAGATTGCGCCAGGTATCGTCGTAACAGTAGAGCGAGCGAGAAGCAGCATAAGCCGGTGTTTTCCCGCCTGTTCGAAGCAGGCCGGCTGTTAAATAGGAAAGTGGCAGAATCAGGTGACTACAATGTGGGTGGGAAGGGATGGGACGAGAAATGCCAACTATATGAATTGGATGTTCGATAAGGGAAGAGGGCATAAATAGACTCTTTTCTTTCGACCTTTATTTAAGCTTTTCGGTGGCTTGGGATTACGTATCATGTTCTTCTGATTTGGCGCTGATTGCGTTTCGTATCGGTTGTCAGCGTGGTAGGGGTTGCGACACATGATGTGGGACCCTTGCCAAATTCTCCCTGTCTTTTTGATCTGTTTGACCCTTGTCAACATGCAGTCATAATCGTAGATAAAGTTCATTTTCTTTTGAATATAAATAATTTACTTCTTCAATAACGCATTGTTCTTCAGAGCCTTCCATCTCTTTCCATCAATTGTTATTGGTGTTAAAAATTCTTTCAACAGCTCCTAATAATACATCACGTTCATATCCTTTGTATTTGTGCATAAAAAATCAAGAATAAGTGTTATCAAATTTTATCAATCATTTGAATTGGTTACATGTGAGAATTTTGTGCTGTATTTGGTTACTATGTGTACATGCATAACTTTATTTCGCTAATATACAATGGACCAAGTTATTATTATTCCAAGCCTTTATTTAAATAATAAATCCATTAAAAAAATATGCTTTTAGTTATTTCTAGAAATTATACGAAATGTAAAAATTCATTATTAACTCGGCTGTGAAATCAGCTGAACAATAAATTTGAATAATACTAAATAATAATAAAGATTTTTTTTAATTTTCGCTTTATGGAATTCAATTTCCGATACTACATTACTATTGAATTTTAAATGGTAGTCATCGGAAATCGAATCCCATAAAATAAAACGCGAACATTACTTTCGGCCGTTAGTCTGATTGGACGCTAGAAATAGACAATTACAAAGAACTAAAAATAGATCCCTAAATAATTTATTTCTAGAAAATCTTTTTTTACAAAAAAAGTTGCGATCATCAATCAAATAAACAAATTGATAGCAAACTTTAAGTTATATGAAGAAAAATACTGCATAATTCCAGCATCGAGAATACGTACTTTACAATCACATTTATTGAGACCAATTATGTTAAAATGTATAGTATTAGGAAGCATCTATGTCATATGGGTGTGCGTAAAGTTTCGTTACCTTATCAGTTATTTTTCAAAGCATTATTATTATTACAAAATCTAAATATATCAAATTTAATATACCCGATTAATTCTATTGAACGGGATATAATAGTCTTTTCATAGAAACGAAATGGTTTCTTTATGAGAAACTTTGCACTTGTTTATACGTTACTTATGAACTTTTGAAAGTATTTAATAACCCACAATTTTTGCATTCAAAAATTCAAAGAATTCAAAAAAAAATTCAGAATAATCAAAAACTTAATTCCACTGATTAATAATAAATCCAAACAATTAAATCATCATGATTAATTCTTCAATGTTAAAGAACGAGTATAAATTTGAAACAACATCAATTCGAAAGGGTAATCATGGTATAATGAATTCTAACTCCTCAGCTAGTCTTAATAGTGTAAAGCTTAATTCTTCAATGTATAATTATCAAGATGGTATTAAAGATATTAAAATTCTTAGTGGAGGAGTATCAGCTGGCGTTGAGATAAGTAATAATGGAGGAAGAGTTGGACTTGAAGCAAAAATTAATATATTAGAATTTAATGGTTCAAGTTTAAAAGCAAATTTAGGAATAAGTACAAATACTGGTATATCGATTAATACTCAATGTTTGGAAGCTAATCTTGCAGGTTTTGGTGTTAAATTCGGAAAAGAAATATGTATAACCACATCTTTTGGAGGTGTATCACTTGATCTTGAAACCTTGATTAAAACGGGTTTAAATATCGATGCAGATATAATAACTAATATTGAAGGTTGCAGTATTATTGGAGACTTTATCAAGAATAGTACAGATGTGTTATTTGGTGATGGAGATATACCGACCAAGATCGCAAATCACAGCATTAAGGCTGGGAAAGAAATAGGTGGTAATGCGCCTATTGGAGATGTATTATTTGGTAATGGAGATATACCGACTAATATTGCAAATCTATGCATTAAGACTGGGAAAGAAATAGGTGATAATGTGTCTATTGGAGATGAATTGTTTGACATTGAAGATTCAATTAAGACTGTTACAAATGTAACATGCAATAATAAAAGTTTGATGACTGATATAATAAACTGTGGTATTAAGGTTGGAAAGGAAATAGGTATCAACACGTCTATTGGTGATGAATCACTTAATATTGAGAAATTGATTACTACTGGTATAAACATATTAACTAATAATAAAAATGTGGATGATATGATTACAGGTCTAGATCTTAAAGTTGAGAAAGAAATAAGTGACAACATAAATACAAGTTCATCATGTAATAATGAAGGTTGCAGTATTAATATTGGAAATGAAATAGGTATCAACAAAAATATTAGAAATGTAGTTTCTAATATTAAAAATTTAACTAGTTGGATTGGAAACAAATCAACAATTTTCTTAAATTGATTTTCAAAAAATCTCTTTTCTTAATACTTTCTTTCAAATAATTCTTTTTAACCTTTTTGGAATTCAGATCAAATTTACTTCAAATCTTGTTAATATTAATTGTAATATAAATGTAAATGTACTCTTACTATATTATTATTTCATGTATATATGTACGTACTTAATAAACAAACCAGGGATGCTGGTAATCCTAGTATATTATCCATAAAAAAAATATAACTTCAAAATTAACAATATCGATAATGGATGAATTATAATAAATTATTATTACCTGTACACTTATCTGTTTGAATAGCACCTATACATATTCGAGCTATAACTTGAGTTATAACTTGAGCTGTGGTTTGGGTTATGACTAGTGATGTGCCGTTTATATTATAGCCCAATTTTTTTTTGCGTACAGTAAAGTTAGTCACCGAAACCTTTTTGGCCAAATCCGAAAGTTTCGGGTTTCAGATTATAGTTTCCGAAACCTCATCTGAAACCCGATACCTTATCTGGAACCCGAAATCCCGAAACTCCATTTGCATAATAAGTTTTAATAAAATCAACGAAAAAAGTATGAAAATCGGAATGAATCAGAAAATCTTGTAGGTTTAATTTTTAATGAGCTTTTAAAATATTATAATTCTAATTATTTATTTGAATTTAGAATGTTAAACTTATCATTATATTAAATCTGCAGAATAATTACTTAGTTAATTTTTTACATAGAGTTGTAATTAGTAGATTCAAATGTAAGATCCACAAATCTGGTTCATATTACTAATAAATCTGGATTTATTAAAATAAACTTAATATTTAAGTCCAGATCTAATAATTAAATCTGGATTTAATGATTAAATTTGAATATTTTAATCTGATAATAGGATATTTTATAATAAATAATCATTATCATATAGTAAAGTCAAAATTTTATTATGCAAATCAATCCTGTGCTATTAAGTAAAATGTTCACAAGAACAAAATACTATAATTCTAAAAATTTCATTTAAATTGATTAATTTTACTAATACAATTTTATATTTTACATTAAATAAGAAATTTTTAAACTTTTTAAAAATAATATTTGTTGATTGTAAACTAGAAAAATATATTAATAAAAAATTATTCAATTTAAATAAAATTTTTTTTATATATAGTTTTTAATCTTTAAAATATTTTTACTTAGTAACTAAAGATCAGTTTACTTAATAAAATTTTGACTTTTATATATAATAATAATTATTAATTAATTAAATTAATAATATATAAAAATAATTTATTTGTATCTTATTTATTTAAATGGATTTATAAATAATCTTTATAAATATATTTGTAATTTTTAAAAATTGTTTTTTTATTATTAAATATATCAAAATCTAAAAAAACTACATATCTTAATGAAAAACATATTGGTAATTTGTTCATTAAACCCTATTTGGAAAATTTTTAATAAATGACAACTATTAGATAATTCTGGTCATTATGAATCAATTTGTAAAACATGTAATTGATTATTTTCAGCTAGAAGATCTTCACAAATAGAAAAATATTATTAATAAATGTTTAAATGTTTCTAAAATAATAAAAGAAGCAATTATATATATTATTAAGTCTTATAATAAATCTTTTAGAATTAAATCTTTAAATGAATAATTAAGTTTAGATAAATATTTTAAAAATACAACTATAACAAATAAACATATTGAATTAATAAATAGATCACTTATTAAAATATTTTATATTGTAAATTATTTTAAAGACTTATTGAACATTTATTTTTAATTAAATTTTTAAAAAAACTTTGACTGCCTATACTTTACCTAACAAAAAAACTGTTACAAATATTTTATTAACAAAAAAATAATAAAAATTAATACTTATTTATATAAATTATTAAAAAAAAAGTAAATTTAATTTTAGGTATTTAATTTTATTAAATAATTTTGAAATTTTATAAATTTATTTAATTTATATTAACAAATAAGAATATTTATATTTATATATTTTAGCTTTAGATAGAAAAACAAGTTTAACAGAAAAATCATTATAGAATTTTGTTATTTATTTAGATTATCATAAAGATATTCTTTGAAAACTTTAAGATTATTCAAATACAAGTCATACTGCAGAATTTTTAATAATAGAAATTCAAAAATTCTTGATAATATTGGAGTTGAAAATTTTATTGAAATAATTATAGATGTAAGAACAAATGCTAATTTAGTAAGAAAACAAATTTCTCAAAAATATTTATATATATTGAATATTAGATATATTATATATTTATTTAATCTTATTACAAAAGATTTAAATAAACATCTATTTGTATCTAAAATTACTCAATATTATAAAACTTTAGTTACATATTTTAAAAAAAATCATTTATCAAATAATTTTTTAATGACTAAAATTTCTAAAAAAAATATTTTAGATAATGAATTAAAAACTTATATTAATACAAGATGGACCACAGTTTATAAAACATTAAAATTAGTTTATTAACTAGAAATATGCTTAAAAGAGATATTATTAAATTATTTTTTTATTTTTTATTTTTTTTTTCCTTTGGCGACAATGCCAGTTGGTTTTTATTAGCCTTAATTTGATATAGTACAAATTTTATGGTTACATTTTAGGATTGATTATT